TTCAATGCGTACATGTCCTTCTGCACTTCAGACGCGGTCTTGCACTTGGAACTGTCAGGTGCCCAATCCGGACCCTTACGCGAATTGTAGTTGACGCCGGGCATCTTGACGTTAAGAGCGTCAGCACCGCCATTGAGCATGAGCACCACGGAGGCAACGAGGGTAGGAAGGAAGAGCTTCATGTTGGAAGTTAGTGAGCGAGTCTACTGGGTGGTGAAGTATATCTCCGCAGAGCTTGTGATGCCGAGCAGAAGAAATGGGAAGTGGCTCCTCAAGACTTTCGGGACAACATGAAGCAGCGCAGATCAACGCCGAGCCCAGCCCACAGGAAGCTCCGCACAGACGATTGGCATCATGGCGCGTGTGGCATCTGGCTGTCCGCTCCTTGCCAGAAAATGGGTCAAGTACTCTTATTTCAGTAGAAAAATGAAACCTGCTTGTCAAGAAACAGTGTTGTCGACTCCAAAATACTGATAGAAGGTATCAATCGTGCACATTACTGAATTATGATACTCAAACCGAATATTTTACCGTGCGATACGCCGTTGGAACGCCTCGAGCATTTGCTTCGATACTGGTATGCTGATGTTATCAGTGTCCGCATACATGTAGCGAAGGCCTCGTTGAAGGCCACTGCAGGCTGTGCTTGTGGTTGACCTACAATACCAGTGACGGCGTTACCAGTTGATCGGATTTTTTTTTGCAGTTCGAACGTGGGACACGGTATAATTGTGGTGCCGAGGATCAAAGGCAACATGTGAGGCACACGCTCGAGGGTGGGTGGTACAGTATACGTGTATGTCGAGACACCCCTTGTTGTCATTACGTATGCTGGTGCCCCAACAACAAAACGTCGCACTCGTAGCATCGAAATCCCGTCTTGGAGCCGAGCCATGCCGATGTGTTCGTCAAGCTGGCGCAGTGACCATCGGGTATGTGGCGACAATGAAAAACGAACCCGCCACCATTGACTCAGTATCAAACACTGTAGTATCAAAGTATATTTTGAAGGCGCATCTATCGATGTCACGAGCCTCAGCATGAAACTATTTTATAGGATACGGATCATGTTGGACTTTTCAACATGTTCCAAAATAAACAGTCATTTCGCTAAGAATCTTCGCCAATCACAGCCACGTATTTCAGATCCCACCCAAACGCTCCAATATCCTCGCAGCAATGTCGGAGCAGCAGCCTGCGGTGTCTCCGGCCTTACCCGAGGACCGGGAGGCGTGGCTAAAGACTGGGAGCAAGTTGCCAGCCACTGGAGACCCCGATACCACCAAGCCCAGCGACGAGGGCGACGATAAGGACGATTCCAACCCCTTCTCGCAGTACTATGGGATGCTGCTGCATCAACAAAACATGCTCCAAGACCACGTACGCACGGGCACCTACGAGCGCGCAATGCTCTCCAATCCGACAGATTTCCGGGATAAGGTGGTGCTGGACGTGGGCACTGGATCCGGCATTTTAGCGTTCTTCGCTATCAAGGCTGGTGCTCGTAAAGTGTACGCCGTGGAACTGAGCAACATGGCCGAATGCGCTCGCGAACTGGTAGCCGCCAACGGACTCAGTGACCGCATCACAGTCATCAAAGGCAAGATGGAGGAGGTGGAGCTTCCTGAGCAGGTTGACGTCGTGGTGTCCGAGCCCATGGGCTTCTTCCTCGTGCATGAGCGCATGCTGGAGACATTCGTCACTGCTGGCAAGAAATGGCGGCGCCCGGCGCCCAGCTTTAAGATGTTCCCGTCTATCGGCACCATGTTCATGTCGCCCTTCTCGGACGACAGCATCTACCGAGAGCAGATGGCCAAGGTGGCATTCTGGCAGCAGCAGGACTTTTACGGCGTCAATCTATCGAGTCTTCGGACGCGAGCAATGGACAACCACTTCTCGCAGCCCGTCGTTGGATACTTCCCTCCTGACATTCTGCTGAGTTCGCGTTTCGCTGAGCATGTATTAGATTTTGCTGATATCACCAAGGACCAACTCGATACCTTTGACTTCCCGTTCCACTTTGTGGTTGAACGCACCGCTATCATGCACGGACTCGGCTGCTGGTTCACCGTCGATTTCTTGGGATCAGATGCACGAGTAGTGCTCAGTACAGCGCCACACGATGCAGGAACACATTGGTACCAGTGCCGCCTTCTACTCTCCACCCCGATCGCTGTTAATGCATCGCAGAGTGTTAGCGGCAATCTCCACTTCGTGTCAAACAAGAAATTCAGCTACGATATCGACCTCGAAGGTGTGATTCCTGCTGTACATGACATGCATCTATGAAACTGACATTGCCGTTCTCTTTGTGGTGTTTGCAGTTCGTCTTGATGGGACTTCGATTGTGTCACGGAATCATATTCGGTTGCATGACCAGATGTACCATTATCTGTACTCTCCTGGCGCTACTTCGGGAGCTGCTACAACCGACGGAACGCAACAATCGAACTCGTCGTACTGAGGTTATGACAGCTTCGAGTGTTAGACGAGAAAGAAGACAGGCAGGTTTAACAAGAGCGAACAAATGAGCTAAATATCGCGACACATATATAGGGAACATTGGAGCCACGGTAGGCTACGGTACCACTTCACTTGTCAAGCGCTGTCTCGACACCCATAATATGGTCGATCGCCTTCCTCACACACGGATCGAAGGCCGCACTGGACGCAGCGGCTGTCGTTTTTTGCTGCTTTGGCGAGTTGCCGTTGATCGTTTGAGCAGGGTACATCTCCATATCGGGGACGACTTCGGTGGCCGGAATGCCCACACCCTCAAACAGCTCATTGTCCGCACTGAAGATCCGCTGGTACGGGATTTCCACTGTCCAATAGTTTGGCAAACGCAACTGCCGGGTGGGGGACAGACTCCCGGCGGTGCTAGCTCCGATTCGGGACGTTAGCGGACGCTTCATCAACGACAGACACAGCAACTCCGCCGTACTATTATCATAGCGACATCAGAACAGCAAGGTTAGACCAGGTACACTTTCATCCTAAAAGATCTGTCCTTACCCGCGAGTATATTGGCTCTGGAGCACAGCCAACGGGCCCCGGTAGCGCGTGCAGCGCGATGTGTACGGTATGTGGTAGTTCTTCCTCTTGGAGAATCTCGACGTCGCACCTGGTAACTTCTCGTCCGTCGAAAAAGCCAGTGCTTTGTCACTGGCAAAGAACGACGCGACCGTCAACGCCGCGACGTGTGAGCCTCCACCTTGGTTGAAACGTAGGTCCAAAATGAGTCCGTCCACGTCTCCTAAGCCCAGCAAGATCGCTTCCAGCGACCACCGCATGGACTCCAGGTCGTAGATCTCAGGCACAGTAACGGAACTTCCCCCTCTGCCTTCTCCAGACTTGTTGTCCACTTCTAGCCGTGTCTGTCCTGCCATTTTAGTAGCCGTTGATCCTCTTGTCCAAGAAGGCATTAGAGCGTCCACTCTGGGCAGTGGGAACTCTACAAAGCCCTGCATGGCAGTAAGACAAATGTAGCCAATCCTCCATCCCGGACAGGTCTCGGCATTTAAGATACCGCAGACAAAGCGGTTGTTGGCGATCCTGCGGCCTCCTTGAGTCAGGTGTTCTCTCTCAATAGCTGCCAGCGTTAATTGCTGGAATCTCAGAGCTGCGGCAGTGGGGAGCTTGTGACCACGCACTGTCAGCGTCCTGGGTCCTGAACCTCCAGCAGCGGCTCCTGCCACGCGCGAGACTGCGAGCGACGGGTCGTCGCATAGTGACACGCTCTCCTGAAGTGCTATCCAAAGATCGTCGTCGCTCGTAGCCGGCTGGATGGCGTCCCCGAAGAGCTGGCGCACAAGCTGCCAATCCACGCGTCTGGGCTCGAGGAAGGCGTAGTGGTCCTGCATGGCGCGCCAGAAGCTGCGGAACGTCAGCACTGGGTCGCGCGAGTAGGTCACGCGCGCGAAGATAGCACGCAGAAGCTCCAGGAACAATCGAAGCAGGATACCATGCAGTGTCATGAGCACGACCAACGCGCCGCCCAATACGGGCACGTGGCGTCGTAGGAAGCTCACAGGAAGGATGGCAACGGCCTCATACAGCTCCAATGGCCACAGGATCAGTAGCTGCAGCCACGCATCGGGCGTCAGCAGCCAATCCAGGCGAAGCAATGTCCACGGCTTCAGCATCGCGGCCAGCATCTCTGAGTTCAGGATTCCTTCGCTGTAAATTACTGAAGTGCCGTCGTGAGACTGTCGTGTCAAAGGTAAAGTTGACGTGGACCACACAGTACCTTGAAGTGATCCAAAAATAGTGATCTCAAAATGAGATACAATTTCGGTAGTCGAATGTAGTGATTAGTAGGTAGTAGATAACAGCGTTTTTTGTTTTATACATTCACACGCGATACACTTCAGCTAGCGCGCTCAGGTGTGCTGCGGACGTCGACCAGCAGCACTAACACGACAATAACAATTACAGACTGCTGTAGCGATGCTGCTCGTGCGGCAGGATGTTCGCGAGCTGCTCCTCAATGTACTCGCGTACCAGCGGAGAGAACACGTCGCGCTGCATCTGGCCGTTAAACATGGCGTCATGGCCGAACTTGGAGTCCACCTCCACTAGCTGTGCGTTGTGGCCATACGACTGCAAGATATTCACCAGGTTGCGCTGTTCTTGGATCGGGATCAGCAAGTCCTGCTTAATGCCGATGATCAGCGTGTCTGCCGAGATGCGGCTTGTGCCCTCGGCCAGATTGAGCGCATTGCGGCCAAGGTTGGTCAGGTCCATGGCCTTAGACAGCAGCAGGTAGCAGTTGGGGTCGTACAATCGAGCGAACTTATTGGCCTGGTAGTCCATGTAGCTCTCCACCTCGAAGGTGGTTGTCTTAAAATGCATGGGGCCAGTGGGATTCCAGTCGAAGCGAGCGTCAAACTCCTCGCGCGAGCGATAGCACGTCATACCCAGCTCACGCGCTACCTTCATACCTTCAAGTGGCACTCCGGGTGTGTAGTTTCCGTCCTTGTACTGTGGATCGGCGAGGATGGCGCGGCGCTGTACACGTCGGAATGCGACCGTGCCGGGGGTAGTCTGGTGGGTGCAGGCAAGACCGACAAGACGGTCCAAACGGTCCGGGAACTGGGCAGCGAACTCAAGCGCTTGAATGCCGCCCATACTGGCTCCAATGACGGTGTGAACGCTGTCGATGCCCAGGTCGTCCAAGATCTTGGCGTGACAGCGCGCCATGTCGGCGGGTGTGAGTTGAGGGAACGAGGCCTTGTATTTCTCGCCCGTGAGTGGATTGATCGTCAGTGGCGAAGTGGCACCGAACGGACTGCCCAGCACGGACGGGCAGATAACGCGGAAGTAGGAGGTGTTAATGGCTTTGCCGGGGCCAATCATGTTCTCCCACCAACCGGGGCGAGGGTCATCACGGTTGGAGGCCGCGTGACTCGAGTGCGAGAAGGAGGGCAGTACAAGGATGGTGCGGTCGCCGGGCAGCGAGCAGTCTCCCCACTGTTCCCAATCGATGGTCACTTCGGGCAGCGAGCCGCCCAACTCGAGCGGGAACTCCTCCTTGAGGACAGATTGATATTTATTGCGCGTGAGCGTGAAGTCGCCACCGTTGTCGCGCTTGGGATCCACCACATACGAACGTTGTTGAGTGACCTGGTTCAGCAGGCTGCGGCGTGGGAGTTGTGACACCGCTGGGCTCTGGCGAAGAGCTGCCTGTGTGATGCGACTGATAAAAAGATTAAAAACGATTGCAAGCAATTTATTGCCGACGCGGAGCTTACCGAGCCAACATGTGCCTTGGATGTTTTTCACTTCTGCTGCTTGAGGTAGAAGATCAAATGTGTCTGCGAGAGGTCTCCAAGCGCCATGGCGCTCCATTGGTTGAAAGAGGTGCCAATCCAGTGTCGATTTGACACCTCGTCACAGTTTATGGTGTAACTGGCGGTTACTTTGACTTGGTTTTTATAAGTGCAGGTTACGCTAGCGTTACGTATAGTATTTGGGTATGGTAAGCAATGAATCACTGCAATAACTGGTTTACCCTGTTATATTAGTTCTATATCACATGACAACGTTTATAATACGAACTTTGATATCAATCAAATATAATAACCTTGGGATATGTATTGATATTATTTCTCAAAGACAAACTGCTGGCTCTTTTTTTTCTACATTCCCCGAGATAGTGCCTGGTCACTCACTAGGGTATCCGTTGCCTGACGTGCACATGGACAGCTCAGCTTGGTCAGGCACCGTGCCGCTATTAGCAGCGGCCCGCTGCGAGCCACCCGCATTGATGGATGGCGGGCAGGCGGTGGTGATCGGCGTGGTCTTCCCCAGTAGAGCTATGTATACTGCACATGCGAAATCCCTGCTTGCGTCGCAAAGATGTGAGTACCAGCAGAGCACCAACCATTCACCATGTCAACCGATGCTTGCAGGGACAGTGATGCATGCACCAATGCACACTCGGCCATCATGTGAACGACCGTGCGGATGCCTCGCTACTCACCGATTTTCTGCTTGCTGCAACGCCTCGAGCTGAATAGCCGATTCCGTTGACAAGGTGCAACATAAGCGTTTCTGGCAAATGGGCATTTTCGCGCAGTACCGTTGCGCTTGTTTGTTGGCAAAGCATTCGCTTCATGTGCGGTAGATCACGGTCACATGTCGTTTAGTTTTGCTCTGGTGTGCCGTTGGTCACTTCGTACGTAAGACTGATCTCGCGTGGATTGCAATGAAGTGATTAGTTATGTTGCACGAGATGAGATTATGGTATATTCAAACAGCTAACGTGTAAAAGTACTCACACCACCGGAACCTGATCTCTTCGGATGATGTTCGATGCACATTACAGTGTCTTGTGGTAGTTCGATCGTCGAACGACGGCAATAGAGCGGGGTGAGTGAGTGAAAGAGTGCTCCATTTCCCTTACTTAGTACTTATTTAGGATCGCTGCCAATGTCAAACTGGTAGATGTTTGCGTTCCAAGTTCCTACCCCCGCTTCCATCATTCCACCCTGTCTATCCAATTCCGGAAATCAGGAAGGACCGCGGTAGATCACATCTCACATTTCAACAATGTACAGCAGAGTTGCTACAGCGTGAGGGTTGGTGTGGACGCATTCACCCACTTTGCAGTACATCGGGTATACTACTGGTATTACTATTGAAAAGCTGTCTTGCAATGATCTTGGTAGGCAGCGGAGGGTTACCCGAGCTCACGGAGCACTCACTGGAGTAGATGACATTGCATAGAGTTTCACATAATATCAAGGCAAAAAATGCATATCGTTTATTTTGTTTGGTAAGGACTAACATCAATCTTTATGGGGAATTCATCCCTGCACTCTATGCACGCAAAGGCCAACGCATTTACAGGTATTTGGTGTCAACCCACCACTCGGTCGCGTATCCTTCGCCAAGGACCTCCGTGATGGCCACAGGAGCGTCCAGCTGTCCGCTGAAGGCAACACGGTTGGCAGTGTTGGCGCCGGGGCCAGAGTTGTTGAACTCCTTGAAGATTACCTTGTCCGTGGGGGAGGTGGCATCCCAAGTCGCCCAGCCCTCGGGCTTGACCACATCACCGAGCTCGCTGTTCTGCCAGATGACCTTGGCGTAAGGACGCCACGGGCGTCCAAGGACAGTCGAGTTGACACCGCTCTTGCCGAACACACGGGCGCGGTTGATGACGTACGTGGCCGTGCTGGACTCGGATTCACGTCCGCTGGCAGTAATGAAACCAGTGCCGATAGTCTCGATGTCGCATGACTCGAACCAAGCCTGGGCGTAGCGACCGAAGATGAAGTCGGTGGCACCGTTGATGTACGTGCGGGCGTAGAGCTCACGGCCCTTGTCGGCCAGAACGGTGTCCTGGTAGCCCGTGAGGTTGCATGCGTAGAAGCCGTAGTCGGTGGCGTTGACGTTGACGGCCAGAGCTTGGCCAACGTTTCCAGCCGTGTTAGCGATGTTGAGATTGTACACCTTCACGTTGTCTGACTTGAAGCGCACCGTGCTGGTCATGTCGTTACGAGCCTCACCCGTCACCTCAGCAGGGATATCCTTCTGGGCCTTGGCCTGGGTGATAGTCACCTCGTTGCCCGCGTAAGACATGGCGTCGCACGTGAAACCCTGGAGCACCAGCGGGCCCGACAGCGGCGAGATCAGCACCTGCTCGTTGTACACACCAGGGCGCACGAACACGGTCTGCTCCGACGTCGTGTTGGGGTCAAGGCGCGCCACTCCCTCCGACACAGTCCGGAAACTGTTCTTGTAGGCACCCGTGGCGTCGACGACGATAGCACCAGCCGGGGGTTCCGTCCGCGCGTTCGGTCCGCTGCATGCACGGTCGGCAAGAGCTCCGGCAGCGAGACCAGCGAAAGCAACGAGGGGCGTGAAAATCTGCATTGTCGAGTCTTGTGTGACGAGGAAGATTAAGGAATGAGCTGCAACGCTGGAGATTAACGGACCTGTTCAATACCACAAACACCCTGTTCGTTTGCTCGCGCATTGCAACTCGTTCATGTTTTCCCCTTCCCCGCCCAAGTGGCATCACGGATGTCAAGCTTATGGCGTCAAGGACACCGCATTAACGCGAACTTGGATGATTGGCATCAGCACGGTGATCTTGGCAGCGCCATCCGTCCCCGTGGAATTGGAGCATGAGTCACGCGTGAGGCACGTGCAATTTGCATGCCATGAGAAACCCGATAGTTGGCACACGGCACTCCTGCTGCGATGCTGTTGCAGTATGTAGATCAAAACGTTGCACGAATATTTGAGTCAACATTTACGTAGCAAGGCAAGAAGCAGAACAGCAACAACATTTTTTATGCCACTTTCCACGGTATGATAACCGAAATATTATATTGCCTAGCTTCTTTCGCATTTCTACAGGAGTCCATGGTTGTGCGTTCGGACCGCCAAGCCTTTCGCACTCAAACTATGCGTCCAAGTTCACAATCATCCAGCGATTTCCACTTTCGCAGCACGTTGCAGTCTCGCTGACTGAGCCTGGCTAGGGCCCTTCAACGAATATTGAGTCTGAACAACCTCTCCCCATCTGGGAAACAACGCTGCTGGTGTTGGAGAACTGAAGTACCGGGCTGGAAACCTCGAAATGTTGATGGTCACTGCAACCAACTGGCGGGAGCAATACGGCGTACGTATTCGTGAACACCGACAAGAATTCAGGATCCGGACGCTGGTACTTATTAAATAAAAATAGCTCAGACGTATTGCCGTGATAGTAAAATCGGTTTTCAACGTCAGAGTGCACGTAGTTCTTCGTAGCTTGCGCATTGCAACCGCACAGAGGAGGTTTTTAGTCGAAGTCTCGGAACTGTCAAACCAGCGGTTGGTCGTTCGCCCGATGTGAGGACACTTCACTGAGATCTGCCACGTGAGCAAAGGCCCAGCCATCGGAGGATAATGTGAATCGATGAAAGAGCAACTATGCGTGGGTATACGATGCCCAACGCAAGACTGTCGACCTGAGTGAGAGCATCGATTAGAGAGCTTACCACCGAAAAGCCGTTACAGATCTGCCCCGTCTATATATCATGTGTAGACGAATAGAGACAGGCACACGTCCTTTCATGATTCGGGTATCCTCACTAAAAGATACCTTACCAATGGTAAGCAAGAAATATAGGGACGTACTTGTAGAGTACACGCCATCAACAGCGAGCACCTGAGTCGTGTTGGCAGAAAAATATCCCCTGCGTGTTCTGTCCCACAAGCGTCTTTACGCCATCCAGTGTTAGCCCACGCATTGGGGATCAACAAGTCGCTGCGTTAAACTACGTAGCCTAATTCAAGCGGAGACAGGTGATCATGGTCGGCGTAGACAAACCCCGCACTAACTCAACACTCGCTTTGTCCTCATATCAGCATCTTCTCCGTCGGTGAACGCTATAGTTCATTTGTCGTTCGTCTATACTAACGCATCCCCCCCCCACGTTTCGTGCGCATGGACAACGAGTCTACTCAAGTCCATGTGAAATACAGTCGAAGCTGGATTGACGGCATTGTAATAGCAAAGTAACATGCTTAGCGCTTAAATCCAGCAAAACATGCCAGCGAAAACGAGTGGCAGAAGCCCAGCCCTCCACTTCATTTTTTAGTTTGCGCCACAGCAGACAAGTAAAATACCAACAGCACACTGTCGCGCAGCACAATATGAACTCTCAACGCTCGATTCATTGCATCATGAAAATGCGGAGTTGCGGTCTTTTCTGGTGAGACTTCATACGTTTTCATCCCGTCTAAAGCAGCAATCTGCCTCACACTTTCTTATTTCTCCTCCATTTCTTCCATCCCAGGCACAAGGTCGTAGTCTCCCTCAAGCTCGTCTCCCACCGATCACCTGATCAGTCCCAACAGAGGCTGTTGACTATCGCTCGTCCTAAGATGTTCGGCGGTAAGATGGAGATATCGCTCGATAACAACGCAATCACTCTCGTCCCCGTGACGGGGAAAGATGCGCGTCACTACCAACTCAAGATCCGCTACGGCTTGAGGTTCCATACCGTGACGCTACGCGCTCCAACTAGTGCCGTTTACGAGACATGGTGGTCGGCACTTAAGAATGCACTAGCATCTCCCAACTTTGCGGTGCTCCCGGTCATTGATGCACGAGCACGTCAAGTGGCTATCGCACCCGTTCTTCCTTCAAGAACCAACACCTCGCGACCCAAGCACACTACGACACTGGAAACGGTGGTGGAGGAAGCAAGGGAGGAAGAATCATTTGACGACATCCCCGTGCTGGAGGTTGGTGGACCTACGTCCCCAACCGAGACAGATATCCTCGCAAGCTGGCGGACGTGGGCAAGCCTGGACTACTTTGCCACCCCACCAAGTATTACCGGTCCTCTGTCTCCGGAAGCCTCAACTGACGGTAGAAAAGACAACGACGGCAGTGCCAGTGACAGAGTCTCGATCTACAGTGATATCAGCGAGTTCTGGTCGAGGCCGTCAGAATGGGAGGACGAGATCCCCTGCTACCAGCCTGCTCCCATCACTAGCTTTGCTGCTTGTGAACCTAATTCGCTAGTCCCGCAGAAGTGTATCACCCCGCAGCCTCAACATGACGATGAAAAGTGGCTGGATGAGATTGCGTCGTTCGCCTTCAGGCAAAAAGTTGGTGCAAGTCGCAAGTCAGAGCGTCGTCCCACCAGGCATATCACGGGACCACTTCACCCCCTGCTTACGTACACTCTGTTCTAAGGGCAGCACAATTCTCCAACACCCAAAGCTTCGCTCCAAGACAACCACCAAATCAACCAAGGTCATTGTCAAATGCTGCGCCAAAATGAAACGATACAAGCATGATGCAGTTGCTTCCAGCCGACTGTATGCAGCAGTCGAGATCCACACCGCTCAAGTCACGGTTATAAACAACCGGTGCGAAGCAGAGGACTCTACGTAGATTCTCAGCAAAGCACAAAACATAGCAATGCTCCACAGAAGATATCCAAACCATGTACAGTAAACCGTTGTAAGTATCAATAAGTACCAATCAAGACCGCCATTTCGATCATTCATTCACTCGGCTCTTGCTTGTCCTTTTCAACACAAATCTGCCTTAAGCTGCCCAAATACTTTCATCACGACAGATACGTCGCAATCGCCGAGGGAATAGCCGACGTGTCGCCGTAAGCTGTAAGATTGGCCGCCTCCATCCCTTGCTCAGTGAGTATCGCTTGTCCGTCGGACGACAACAAATACGCCACAAACTCTTCCGCCTCCGACATATGCGTCGCGTTATTAAGAATAGTTACAGTGTAGATCGACGCCGATCCATTGTAGACCGTCCCCGTCTCGGAGTTAGTGTACGACACGGTCGCATATACGTCGTCAAGGGCCGGATTTCCCATGTTAATCTCCTCAGGCAGCGTAATGAAGTCGATGTTGCTCAAGCTGCCTGCCTCGACGGCGTAGAAGAAGCCTACATCCAGGTCTCCGGACGACAGATACGTCTCCAGATTCTCCTCTGAGAAGATCTGGTCGCGGTTAGTCGCGTTACCCAAGATACTAGAAATCAGTCCACTGGTATTGTAGTATTCCTCGGCCAGTTCGAACATCATGACGGTACGGTAGCCCTTGGGGTCAGCATCTGGGTCTGTACGTCCGAGTTTCATGTCGGGGTTCTGAAGTAACGCTTCGTACCAGAGCAGCGAGCCATTCTGGACGGCAGCGAACACGTCGGCATAGGGCGACTGAGGGTAATAGCCGATGCCAACTGATGTCTCTCCAAAGGTGATATACCAGGAGATCAAATTGTCGTTGGCATCGCCCATGAGCAGCTCCGAGTTGACGGAGGCGTCGGCACTGATGAAGACGTCGGATTGGCTACCGTTGATGATGAGGTTGGCCAGTTTAACGGAGCCTTTAGCCACTAGCGACGTGGAGATGCCCGTGGCGGCGGTGAAGGCCGGAGCAAGCTTGTCGTCCATGAGGCCGACCAGGGAGCCGGCGTGGTAGATGGTCACGTTACCTGTGGTGGTAGAGGCACTAGAAGAGGAGGAGGAATCGTCCGATGAGGACGAGAAGACGCCGCAGGCTGCCAACACGATCACCACGATGAGCACAAGCAGTACAGCGGCCAGAGCCACACGATACTTGACGATAGTGGCCTTGACGTTCCACACGGGGGTGCCCTTGTACGGCGTCTCGCTTTCGTGCTCGTGCTGAGGCGGCGGCGTGAGGGGTATCGAGTTCACCGAAGTCATGGTGGCTACGCGCGTCTGGTCGGGCGATTGGGGAAATGGCCGGATACGGTACACTTTTTGAAGGAGCATCAGCATTGCATGCAACTTGAAATGATGTCGTCTGCGGCCGTTGATTGGCTGATAAATGAATCATGGTGGCCAATCGCCGTGGCGGGATGTGGGATTGGACGCATTCCTTGTACGCAGAGGTTGGGTACGAAATATGCAAATGAAAATTGTTGCCATGCATGAGCACATTCAACACATGAGTACAAAAAGCCGGGACGCTCTCTCGTCTTGACAGAATTTATTTGTCATAATTTAAATTTGTATTACGACCAATAAATTCTGTCAAAGTTTTCTGGATACCGTAAAATTCGGATTGAATGCAACATTCGTAAAAACTCGATCATTATGACTAATGCCGTGCGTAGCCCGGGAAGCCCTGGATATTTACGTTACGTACCGGTATTTATCGGTAAGCTTTGATGAAAGGCTCAACAAAGAACTA